ATCACTCAATTACACACATCTACACATGTGCTCACCCACTCACATACCATCTATGTGCCTAGTAAATAAATGGGACAGCAGAGTTGGTATTATATAGATTTACATTGTCAATATATGAAGACTCGGTTACAGAGATGTTTCCTTGAGGTTAATCAGAAAACTAAACAAGTGAATGTGTGAAACAAGAAAAGCAAAAATTTAGAACAAGACAGCTAGGAAAAGACCCACTAAACATTAATACCCAATATAGAAGTATTAAATACTGTGATTTAAAATTTCCAGGAAGAAAAACGCTTAGCAAGTAAGCTCTCCCTAGTGCAGTTCATTTGTAATTTTCACTTGCTTTGCTTTTAAAGTACAGGTAGTCCTCAACGTACGACTGCAATTGAGTCCAACATTTTTGTTGCTAAGCAAGACATTTGTTAAGTAATTTGCTCCATTTTACAACTTTTTTTGCCACAGTTGTTAAGTGAATCACTGAAGTTGTTAAATTAGTAACATGGTTGTTAAGTGAATCTGGCTTTCCCCATTGACTTTGCTTGTCAGGTCACAGAAGGTGATCACATGACCCCAGGGCACTATGACCATCATAAATATGAGCCAGCTGCCAAGCATCTGAATTTTGATGACCATGGGGGATACTGCAACGGTTGCAAGTTATGTCAACATTGTTGTAACTTTGAATGGTCACTGAACACTCTGCTGTAAGTCAAGGGCTATCTGTACCACAACCTACCCTTCCAGACTTTTTTGGAGCTACTTTCCATTTTCCATTCCAGAGTCCTGCCAGGCCAATGGTACAGTAAATCAGACTGTGCTGCTGCGATTTTCGCAAGCTACCATAACTCAGAACATCAAACCATATTGCTAGATGCAAGCGAGGACAATAGAATAGACCAGTGGTGGCGAACCTATGGCACGGGTGCCAGAGGCGGCACTCAGAGCCCTCTCTGTGGGCACGTGTGCCATCGCCCCAGTCCTAGGCCTTCAGCTGGGTTTTATAAAACCTTTTCACTTTAGGCCTCTGCTGCCGTGTACAAAAAAAAAAGGTTCAATCAATCAATTTCAACTTCTTGCGGGGAAAAAAAAGATCTTGCAAAGTTGGAATTGATTGATTGAACTTTTTAGTCCCATCCAGTCTGCTGTTACCACCGCAGCCATGCCCACCCAATGGGCCACACCCACCCGGCACCCGATGATGCATAAGTGGGTTTTGGGTTGTAGTTTGGGCACTCGGTCTCTAAAAGGTTCACCATCACTGGAATAGACTTTCCCTATTCATGGGTGTCAAACTCGCCAGGTCACATGACGTGGCGCGTCGTATCGCGACTCTTTTTGCATTGCCGGCAATGGGGTGGGTGTGGCTTTGGTATGATGAAACTCCCCTGCGGGCCGGCAGTTTGACACCCCTGCAATTGGTGCCTTCCAGAAATTCCTATCATACTGAACAATCCCCTATAATTCTGAGTGCTACAGTCCCAGCAAATTTAGAAGACAAACAGTTTGGGAAGGCTGCAGTAGAAAGATATGGTATGTTAGCCATGCAATAAGAACAAAACATAAAATTATGTGATTCCCTCAAAGCAAAATATCTGGATTACATTAACACAATTTTACTGTCAAAGTATTGCTATATTACACGAAAAACACAAACATCTTCTGCATGACTTTGAATTTTCTTCAGATCTTCTGTTTCTGATTCATTGCTCTTAAGTAACTGCTTTAAAAAATCTGCATGACAATCACAGCTGCAAGTAGTGAGGGGGGAATACAAGATGCAAGACCACAGTTGCAAAATGTACTCTTTATGACTTACCTATCAGCATTGTAGGTACCTACTTAATAAAGACATGTTCAGAGAAACGTGGCACTCTGTGGGGATCATACTTTACATTCTAACGGGTGGAAAGGTGATACTTATCTTGGCCTGATACTGTAATGAAATCAAATGACAAGGAAATAAGGATAGTTGAAGCAGAGGATAATAGGAAAAAAAATCTGGCAATATAAAACAATGGAAAAAGTACAGGAGCCATAGTATTGAGGCAGCAGCAATCCCAGGACAGTTGGGTGCATAGTTCAGGGATGCCCTGATCACACTTGTGGATGATCTGTGGCAGAGCTGGGATGGGGGGCACAACAAGAATGGTTTTTCTTGATCTCTTAGCAGTTTTTGATACTATAGGTCTCGGTATCCTTCTGGACTGACTAAGGGGAGTAGGAGGAGACATGGTATTAGGGTGCAATAATTCTCCTTTCTCCATGGTTGGTTTCAGTTAATGCTGGTAAGAAGAAGTATAGGGAGCCGTGCAGAAGCCATCCACGTGCCATTAAAACAACAAAAGAGCAGAATTCACTGTGACCAGGAAAGTATTAGACTCAGACTGGATCTCTCCTGACTCCCTGGAGTATGAAAGGGAAAACAGTCAGACGTGCAAGATTCTCTTATTCTAATCTGTGGCAGTAAAGTATAGTTCTACTATTCCTGTTAAATCAGTTTCGGGATCTGTATACTCATACATCTGCCAAGAAGAGACAGATCAAACCCAATGACCTGATGGTGAGATACCACAATGCTTGATGCTCTGACCCTTTTTATTTTATACCTACATGAGGCTTCTGAGTCAGGACATCCATCCATTTGGAGTCAGGTATTATCATCAGTATGCTAATGATACCTATATATCTGATCCCCAATGTTGAAGTCATGTTTTAGTGCCTAGAGGTTGTGAAGATCTGGATGTGGAAGAACAAGCTCAGACGGGTTTCTGCTACCTGTCCTTTCCTGTTTGGGTCTAATATGCCAGCTAGATGTCTCCTGGACTCACAGCTCCTGCTTGAAGAACCAACGGTAGCTTGGCCAGGAAGCCTTTTGCACAGGTTCACCTTCTATGTCAATTGCACATTTTCTTGAGCCAAGAGAGTTTTCCAATTGTCACTAATGCCGCAGTCACATTTTGGTTGAACATTTGCAATGCTGTCCGCCTATGCTGGCTCAGGAATTCTGGGGTTGAAGTCCACGAGTCATAAAAGAGCCAAGGTTGTCTACCCCTGGCCTAGGGAAACCTTGAAAACCATTCAAAAGCTATAGTTTTTACAGAAGAAGCAGTGATTGGTGAGCAATTCCATGTATCATCCAGGTTCTAAGAGTTTCATTGGTTACTAGTTGGTCCTGGCTGCAATTCAATGTGTTACTTTTCATCTTTAAAGCCCTATATGATGCAGGGCCTTGTAATTTAAGGAAGCATCTGTCCTTGGTTTCTGCTGGTCCTGGAAGGCTTGGATCAAGACATGGCTATTCAAGTTAGCAGGACTGGCCTAAGGGTTATTTTAATTTGGTTTTAAAATAATTAAAAAAAAAAAATTTCGAATTTTCAGTCTTAGAATAATGTTTCATTTTAATTAACATGTTAAGTTTGGCATTTTTGTATTTGTGTATTTGTTTTTGAATGGTTGTAAGCCGCCCTGAGTCCGCAGGGAGAAGGGCGGGGTAGAAATATAATAAATAAATAAATAAATAAATCTATTCCTGGTCCTATCAATTAAGTAATGTCATCTAGCCCAGGAGATGAGCTTTCTCATTTGCAGCACATACCTCTGAAATAGTGTTTCCCCACTTCTAAGATTCACATGGAAAAAGCCTAGTGTTAGGTGCTTGTGGGCCCTCTTGTCTGTTTTTATTTCTGGATAGAAGAGAGAATTGGCTATTGTTCTCCTCCAGATGGTGCAATATTTTTTGTTTTATTGTTTTAAATGCTAAGTCGCTTCTGCAGCCTGGTTGCAAGCAGCTCACGGCTTGCCACTAGTGGGCCGTGGGCCAGGGCTTTGAGTCCCCTGTGATAAGCCATGTATTTGTTGGAACTGAGCATCTTAGAAATGTAAAATATAAATATACCAAAAACATTTTCAGTTTGAGGGTGGATACTGAGTAAATTGCATATTGCAGCTCTCTTTGATTCTGAGGTACTGCTGTGCGGGAACTCCACCCCCCATGAAATCATTGCCCTGTAGTTACTATTAATAATACTGTAATTGCCCAATGAGTTTAAAAGGCCATAAACCCTTCATGTTTGTGGCAGGAGAAAGTGATACAAGTACAGCTCTATAACTGATCAGGTAGAAGGCTGCGAGCCACTTCAGTTTCTCTTTTTTTTAAAAAAAAATGAACCAGGTGTGGTCATGCTTCTTTTTTTAAAAAAAAAAAGGGTTTGTGGGGCTACATAGTTGGAAATCAGGCTAAAATGTATCCCCCCCAATCTTCTCAACCAAGAAGAAACCATATATTTCTTGTCCAAATATTTTAACTTTTATGGGGAAGGACATAGATGGTGGTGAAAAATGTTCACAACTTATTCTGTAGCAGCTTTGAAGGCACTCTCAGTAATATTATAATTTCACCAGATCAGAAGTCTAGAATTTAAGTGGGTAGAAACCTTAGTTTACAGATATCTAGAAGTCTGGAAAAGTTGTATATCTTCAGGATAATAGACTGGGATGTGTCATTCGATAAGTAGAATAAGCCTACGGAGTGGGCTAAAGGGAAAAATAACTACTGCAGATTGGTCCCTGATCTACTTAGTGAAGGGCCTATGTGGTGAAAGTAATAGATACTGCTGTAAGCTCCAGTACTTCTTTATCACTCACTATTCAAGAAGAAAGCAAATTGGCATCTATGGCCACCCTGGGCTTCAGAGAGAACGGCATTGTGGATTCAAGCATGAGGACCAGTTAAAAATGCATGTTGACTTATCCGTGAGCTAGAAAGAAAAACGACACGATGCAGTTGGCAGAAATGACAACGCTGACTGTTTTAATTAAAAAGAAGAACCTATCTAGATTTGTTTCTATTTGGAAACCGCTTCTGGACTTTTTGCTCAAAACTGAACAAACTTTGATTTTAGGATTTGATGATTAGAATGACTTTGTTATAGAACTGGCTTGAAACGTTTAGAAATGTAAAGCAAAAGGTTGTGGTAATTTATTTATTTTTTGTATTTTCCTATACTGAACAAAGTCGGAAGTCATTCTTTCTTTCTCTAACTTGGTTTCTTTTTATATTTTTATTTTGTAATAAACTTTAATAAAAAAAAATTTTAAAAAATCTTTTTTTAAAACGTTTTATTACACTGGTAACATTGCCAGTATAATTGCATTATAATCCCTTGCTTGATGTTCTGTAGATCTGCTGAATTGCAACTTCTTTCATTCCCTCTAGCATGTCCATACCCAATCAACCGATAGAACAAAAGCAGCAGAATGCATAGAAAATCAAATGTGAATGTAATAAAGATCATAATAAAAAGAGAACACACAAGTAATCGCATTGAAGTGTTGATTCCTGGGTGTCCTCCTGAGATCACATCTCAAACATATTGTCTCTTCTTCGACAAACAAGTTCTAGAAGTCTGGTTCACAATTACCAGGGCTGGACAGAAGATCAATCCCAAGCATAAGTACCAAGCCACACCTTTGACCTGGGCCTGAAACCAGTCAGAACAAATGCCCAGTACTACAGTGAAAGTGGCCAGCAAGTAAACTATCAGTCCGTACACAACATGGTACCTCCGGAGCTGAGCTACTAATGAAATCCTTAGCAGCTGTGGAAAGAGTAGGCACAATCCACACAGGACTTGCCCATAGAGGGCCAATATTGTCAGAAGACCCAGGATGCTGTGCCAGGAGGTGAAGTGTGGGAGTTCGCTCCGGTTCTTGCTGGAGATAATGAAGACCAAGCCCAAGGTGGCAGCCACGAGGGCCAGCACTTGCGCAATCCAATGCAGCTGCACTTTTACTTTGTGGGAGCAGAAGAAAAGAGAGCCCTCTGGAGAAAAGATCAGGATGGCTTCCGTCAGACAGAGGCAGAACTGAGAACACAGGAACCCATTAATAACAAGGCTATTCCTACTTAAAAGTAACAAGTGAGGTCAAATATATATATATATTTATTTTGCCTTTAAGTGGTTTATTTTATACCCTGCACTTTTATTCCATCTGCAGTCTTTGGGACAGGTAATAGTTGTGCCCAAAGGTTCAGCTCCTAGTCTGCTTCCCACACAGAGATAATGGACATGTCACATTCAGCCTAACCTTTCCTGGTGCAGGTTTTCAATATGCAGTAAATGATAAGGTGGTCTATAATAGAAAAAGCAGTTAAAAAGCAGTCAACTAATCTGAAGTGACACAAGAGAAAAAAAAGTACTATTCACATGAAGAATAAGGGTAAGTTTCCCTCAAGTCAAGCTCAACTCTTGGTGATTTCATAGTCAAGGTTATGCAGTTTTCTGGGCACTTTTATCCAATGGTTTTTTAAAAGATTCTTTTTTAAATCTTGTTTATACTGATTTGATAAATAATTCAAGGTGGCAAACACACTAATACTCCTTCCTCCTCCTATTTTCCTTACATCCACAACTCTGTGAGGTGAGCTAGACTGAGAGACAGTGACTGGCCCAAAGTCACGCAGCCTAAGGCAAGATGAGAACTCAGTTTCCTGGTTTCTAGCTTGGTACTATCATACCAAACTTTTTTTCTGACTTCTTAAAAAAACTTCCTAACCTAGTTTATAGTGCTGGGATTTTCTGGTCATCTCTTATACAAGCACTCATCAGGTCTCTCCTTGCTTATTGTCAGACAAGGACTGCTGCCTAGCTGGGCCCTGGCTGTTTAGACTGGGGATGGTATTGAGTAAACTCACTTAAGTTTCATTAATGAGCATCTACAAAAACTGGAGAGGATGGAATAAAGGCTGATCTTGGAAGGGTTCCTTCTCTGTTGTTCTATGCCAAGGGTAGTCAACCTTGGCTCTTTTATGACTCGTGGACTTCAACTCCCAGAATTCCTGAGCCAGCTTAGCTTAGCTGGCTCAGGAATTCTGGGAGTTGAAGTCCACGAGTCATAAAAGAGCCAAGGTTGACTACCCCTGTTCTATGCTGCCACGGCCCCTTGGGAAGCCTTCCCAGCATGCAAGCAGAAGCAAGAAAAAGCGGGAACATCACCTTCCCTTTCTCCTTCTCCCCAGGGGATCTGCGGTTTGCACCTTCATCAGACATGTGCTGTACAGGTAGTCCTCGACTTACAACAGTTCGTTTAGTGACCGTTACAAGATACAACAGCACTGGGAAAAGTGACTTATGACCCTTTTTTCACAGTTACGACCATTTCAGCATCCCCCATGGTCACATGATCAAAATTCGGATGCTTGGCAGCTGGTTCATACTTATGACACTTGTGGTGTCTTGGGGGATCACGTGATCACCTTTTGTGACCTTCTGACAAGCAAAGTAAATGGGGAAGCCCGGTTCACTTAACAACCGTGTTACTAACTTAACAACTGCAGTGGTTCACTTAACAACTCTGGCAAGAAAGGTCATAAAATGGGGGCAAAACTCACTTAACAACTGTCTCAATTAGCAACAGAAATGTTGGGCTCAATTGTGGTTGTAAATAAAGGACTACCTGTATTTTGGACTTCAAAGGTAACATTTGGGCTTTGAAAAGAGCACTGGGCAAAAGCCAGGCAGAGCCAGGAACCCTACCAGCTATATTTGATTTAATTTTAACTACTTAGAATTAACACAAATATTCCCCATATGTTTAACAGGGGGGAATATAATCTAGGGCAGGGGTCCTCAACCTTTCTCTTTAAAATGCAGCATTTTAAAGAGAAAGGATTTGAAGTGATAAAAAGAAACGGGAAAGCTTTCTTTTGAAAACATTTACCATTCTGCTTCAGCAGCCAAATGTTCAGTTTTTATAGGGCAGAAAATGTTTTAAGATACTTCAGACAAACCATACCCATTATGACTGTACTGTTCTTGTTGGATGGTTCAAATATTATTCAGCAGGTGCCTAGGATACAATACTTGCCTGAATGAAAACACACATGTCTAGAGAGGTATGCGTGTTGAATGTGTGCTGTCGTCTGCAAAAGAAGGGCAAAAGGATTTTCTGCCTCTCTAAAAGGCAACCTGCATACAGCCTTATTATTTGTGCTTATTTTCTCATAAATAAAGCCTAGGAAAAATGAACAATCCTGGGATATACTGAATAAGAAGAGAACAACTTACTGCAATTGACATGAACACTGGGTGCCAGGAAAATAAACCTGGAAGGAAGAGAGAAAAAAGGAAGACTATTCAGCTTTGGCAAACCAATCTAAAAATAAACCTGGCTACACCAGCCAATTTGATCCCTGGAAACCGTTAACAGAGGAAATCTAATCTTATGCGTTTGTATGTTGCTGTTTCTGATGTTTTTATACTTGGTTTTTATGATTTATTTATGTTTGCCTCTCTCAGTCATGTGCTAAGTGGGGCAGATATAAAATCAAATCAAATCAATAAATGTATTATATAAAGTTGTGACTGCAGTCAAACAAGCGAGAGACATCTTTGTATCTTAGCTAGGGAAGATTCTGGAGAACAGCCTATGCATATGCAGCCAACAGTTGCCAGTGCTAAAATGATGCAAGGAAATATGCCATGGTTTAGTTACAATTCTCAGCCTGATTTCTCTGGCTTTCTCAAAATGTTCTATATGTAAACTATATGCTTTCTGATTTCAGGAAATGTAATTTTTTTCCAGGTATAACATTTACAACATTGTCTTGCAGTCTTTCAAACATTTTAGCAAGGACAGAGAGCATAATAGGCTAAACTGAAGGATCTAAAACGCTTGGGGAGAATCAAAGAATCTAAGGATAATGCAGCATTTCCACTGCCTAAAAAGATAATCCATTCCTCTCTAAATACTCCTTTTTTTAGTCTTTTAGCAAACCCTGTCTACAACATTTTTGAGATTTGCTCCACAAATATTTTATATATTTATTTTTAATAAAGGGAACAGAATTTGGAGCAGTAGAGCTAAAAATGAAACCATATTTCACATAGCATGGAGCTGTTAGCCCCCAAATCCTTGTTTTTCTTTCATACAAATCTCTTAGATGCAGCAACCTTTAGTATATACATCCTCATATTCAACATCTGCACACAGAGTATTTGACACTGTTCCTCTGAAACAAGAGAAAAAAAGATGATTCCTTTAACTAGAGAAGAAGTGACTGTTTTCAGGTTTTATTGCAGTTTTAATGTTTTCCCCACAATTTCTGCAGGTTCTCTAAATTTATTAAGTCTTCACCCAGATGCTTTTCCTACTGCTAAGTTAAAGTGCTATTCACCCATTCTTTATAGGCAACAGAAAACCAGCAAGAAATGTTCCACCCTCATTGCCAATCCCTATCCCTGCCTCTATTGTGTCTCCCAAATGAGCTCTCCTGATTTTGCATGCTCAGTGCATGGTATGCAAAGCAATTACTTCAATCTTCTAGCTTTGCTATCCTCCCTCTTTTGCACGTCAATAGCTGGGGGCAAAAACATCTGCCAATCAAGCCACTGCATCAGCAATAGCATAAATAGAGTAGTAGGATTATGTATGTCAACTCTATATTGTTTCTTGACCATCCCAGCCTACCCCCACTTACACCCAATTCTAAATTAGGCAACAATTGGTTCCGACAATAATTTGCAAATGCAACCCTTATTTTTTGCATGCTGATGTATAAGTGGCACACCTGGTACATTTTTCCAAATATACATACCTGCAAGTA